GAGTTGTGTTGAATCGCAGCTGGCTCCCTTGGCTACATGTATGAGACTATTTAGAAAACTGGTGAATGGGAGCTTTCACTTCTCAGAATTACAAAGCAGACGAAGATTGCCATCTATGTATGGGATCAGAGTCAAGCTGAAGCTTGGAATTTGAATTCTGACAGATATCTGGATCTAATAACTCTACCAAACAGCCTCCAAGCAGCAGGAGGGGAAATGCAGTTGGAAGTGGAGAAGCAGGTAGAAGAGTTTTCCCTAATTCACAACCAATTCTCCCTGCAGTCCTCTTTTCATGTTCTTCTCTCTCAGTTGCGCTTACCATATTATAAGTAAAAATGGTGGAAGGAAGGAAAGGGATATGATTTGGGACATAGGGAAAAGAAGAAGGGTTAAATACCCAAGCATTCATTATTTCAAATTGCATCCTGCTGCTGCTTTGCAACAATTCAGTGGAAACTCATGTTCTGAAAATTAGTGTTCTAACCCTGGGAGATAGCACTGTATATTGCTGATTACTGTAAGAGCACCCCAGGAAGAAGCAGAAAAGGTAGCTGGGAAAGAGAATTTTAAAAAGAAGAGAATTCACAATATACTCTCGGCAGCTATTTACAGAATTGACTCCTGAACTCAATTTGTTTGCATTTTAAGTGTGAATCAGTCTCAATGAGCTGAAAGATGCAACCTCCACCCCAACAAAATCAGATTCTTAACATATCCCTTTCACCCATGGCTAAGCAATCATGCAAACATTAACAGGGTTTCTGCTGCACAAAGACCTGAAATACAAGTTGCAGAAATTCCTAGTGAAGCATAGTGATGTGTATATTAGGCAGACAGTAAAGTACAGGCATGTAATTGAAGCACTACAGAATTGTTTGTACACTGGATAACTTGTTAGTCCATTCTACATACCTGTGAACAATGAACACATGTGGAAGAGGAGCATCGCAGTATCAGAAGTGTTTTTTTCAAGTTGGCAGATATAACTGTCCCCACCCTGCAAAAGTCAGAACCAGAGCCCACTTTTTCACCATCCTGCAATTGTGAATCATGACAATTTGATTACCGTATTTTTCGCTCTATAGGACGCACCAGACCACAAGACGCACCTAGTTTTTGGAGGAGGAAAACAAGAAAAAAAATATTCTGAATCTCAGAAGCCAGAACAACAAGAGGGATCACCGTGCAGCGAAAGCAGCATCCCTCTTGCTGTTCCGGCTTCTGGGATAGCTGCGCAGCCTGCATTCGCTTCATAAGACGCACACACATTTCCCCTTACGTTTTAGGAGGGAAAAAGTGAGTCTTATAGAGCAAAAAATACAGTACTTATTCAGTATCTTTGGGTCTATTTTCAGTCTCTGCTATCAGCTGAAAGTCTGTAGACACATATATCCAATCAGCAATTGTCATGTGCTGCTAGATGCCAGTACCTTCCATCATAGATAGCTTTTAGCAAGACCCACTGAAAATAGCCTGGAAGGGTGTCATCACCAAGTGAACTCTATTCAGCCCCTTTTCCTTGTGACTAAAAACACCTAGCCAATCTGGAGTCATTTGCATGAAAATGCCCCTTACAGACACATGCAACCAATTGTGTTGGTGGTGAAGCCCCAACTTCCCCCAGAGCCTTTGTGGAGCATTCAACTGGCTCTGGACTCAGTCACTTGCTCTGTCCCCCACTCCCCCCACACCTATAAGCAGGAGTGCAATGTGCCATGAAGGGAAAGAGCAGTTTCAAATTTGAGATATAGAAATGGACACAAGTTTTCATTCTTGGTGGCATCGCAACAAGATTTTTACTATTCCTTCTTTAGGAAAGGTGAAAAGTCCTAGGATAAAACAGCAATACTGCTTAAGTTTATTGCAGCCTAAATGTTTCACCTTAGAGGTTAGCATTGGAAGACTATTCAATGGTTCTAGGAAGCTCACACTTTATAAGGTCAATAGTGTTATGGAACTGGGCTTACCAAAAGGGACATCTGGGCTCTTTGAATTTGTTTTTCTGTTGCTTGTGTCAAGACCAGAAAGAATTCTACCAAGACTACCTCTGTTTCAGTATTGATTTAACCTGCAGCTGAAGGGTATAGGAGCTGAGAATTTCTAATTTAACAGGAGGTTTGACTGAATACAAAGACAAATAATACAAACTGACTTACTGGAGAAATTATAGCTTCCATGGCATGAAAAAGTCATAAAAACAAAAAGGACAAGGCAAAAATACTGGGTTTTTCTAACAATAATATAGGATTAGTGCAGGGAAGCAGGAAGGGGCAAATTTAGACTCTCTTGATCCCAAACTACTGTAGAGCAGCACACAGATAAACAGTGATTACAAAGTCAAAGAGTTTGCCAAAGTATCATTGCTTTACTGGATGAGATAGTTGAAAGTGTTCTTGCACAAACACCATAGAAATGAATGAAAGCTGTGCATGGGCATAGTCATATATTTCATAGTAATTTATTCTGCACCTTTAACTTTGTCCATCCATAGCTGAAGCTGCCATAAAACCAATGCTAAGAACTCCCCCCCTGGTATTCCAAGGGTTACAAAAATGCTTATGTATTTGGGTTAACGTAATTCTAACATAATTTATATTTAAAACCCATGTAAAACTTTCACCCAAATGTTGTTGCTCACATTCCCTGAGTATATGCCTGAAATTCCCAATGTCATCTGGTACATCTGAAATGTAGTCTCTTAAATCCAGTCTGTTCGTTTTGTCAAGTGTCCAATAAACTTGTGGAATATTCTGCACTCTATCAAGCTTCACACATCACCTCTTATTGTGCAGTTCTTTCCCCAGTCCCGTGAATTAATTTCTGGCCTTGTTTTCTCATAGATCTGAAAATAGCATAACAAGTACTTGACAAAACTTCAAATATTTGCTCTATTTTTCTTATTTATTAACTACATTGGTTAAAACTTGTCTCAAATACATATCTCACAACTTTAAGTTCTTATTCCATCATTTTTATACTGCTCCTCAGTGCTAAAAGTTGCCATTGTGATGTAATAAGAACCTTGGTTAAAATGATTTTCCTCCAGTTATTTCAGTATAATCCTTGACCTTTTATTTTAATGGTAAATTTCCCCAGATACATGTGTATGTTCTTGGATATGATTTTGATATGTGCTGAGATTTTATCTGCGCTATCCACTATGGCCTGGTTATTGTTTTTGTCGATTGTAAAGTTTACCTTTAGTATTAAGAGAGCTTCCCCTGGGTTGCTAGTTTCTATGATGAAGTTTTCTTTCCTTACCCAAGGCATTAATTTTTCATGTTTGCTCTGTACTGTTATATTCAGCAGTGAAATTCATTTGGCATATTCTCAGACTGCTGGATAACCAATAATCTACTGTTTTGTAAGGGACTATTGCAATTCCCACTAAAGTTAAATTATGTCTTTCTGCTAATAACAATTGGAGTCAGAGGTAGGCTTCATAAAGAATAAAAACTAATTTTAATCCTTTCAGTAAACAGGAACTTCTAAATGATTTTCTCCAAGACTTGCACTGCCTGCTTAACACTATTATTTGAAATGGATTTGCTCAAATATATATACACAATATATCAGTCACTATTCCCTATAGTTGTAACATTACAGAATACATATAGAAAGTTAGCAACTGTTAGCAGATTTTAAGGGTGGGGAAGAGAACTCAAAACAATAATCTATTCCCAGTTTCATTTCTATCTGTGTTCCTGTTGTTCTGAATCACAGACATCCTAGAAATGTACCTTAAATCACTCCTTTGTGTTGAGCAACAAACTAGCCAATAGGTAATAATGTGATTCAGACATACAGTGACCCACATGAATGGGTGCTCATAACACAGTAATGAGGCTTGACCTTCCCAGTGGTACGGCATTTATTGAGCAAAACAGTGAGTATGCATTTTAAGGTAAGCAGGCCAGTTCAGATCTAAAGTGCACAGATGTGACTATAATACACCTAAACCAATGGCTTGTTTGACCACACCACACATTGAAACCATATCCCACCCCCACCCCCACCCCTGAAAAATACTGTAGTTTGTTAAGGATGCTGGGGATTGTAGATCTGTAAGTGGTAAACTACATTTCCCACTATTCTTTTTTGGGGGGGTGCACTTTAGCTGTATTCTGTGTATACAGCCTTAGTGCTACTAATTTTGGGGACTTCCCCGGTGTAATGATATGAAGGATTAAAGTCCAGGTGTCCAACATAGACCCAGGGTGTTTTGTTTTTTTGTTTGCTTGCCTGTTTCTATGCTACAATAGTTTCTATAAGTATGGTTTTGTGAAGTGGGTTATACTTTAGAAACTGATAATTTCCCCTTTGCTCTTTTCTTTCATTTTCTTGTACCACCACTTTTTTCTTTTTTTAAAAAAAAAAAAGAAAAGTTGTATATGGGCTTATTGAGATAGAATAAGAATTTTCATACTTGTGTCACAGTAAATGTGCATTTGCCACACTGTATCTATCCTGGCTGAAAGTATAATGGGATAATTAAGCCAGTGGCAGATTTGCAGATTTGGGGCCCTGAAATTTGAACTGTTATTGAGGGCCTTTCACAATCAGCAACAAGGTGTGGGTAACCACTGTTAAAATTCAATGCCTGGTTTAAGAATTGTTGAAGTTTAATTTACATCAAATATTTTAATTTTTTTAATGTATTGTATTTAAGTTGTTGTAAAAGAAGCTTTAGGGACATAGCCAGTATCCTTCCACCGGGAGTGGTAGACTACCTTGTGATTAAGCCTTGTGACTACATCACAAGTGTTAGGTCTGTGACTCAACAGGAAAACTGTAATTTGAGTACCTTATCAGTGTTTGTACATGTAAATTGAGGTTACTTGCAACACAGAGCTGCACGTAGTCAGTTGCCAGCATGCAGGAGAAAGCGACAGATGCAGTATGTGCTTTTTCGCAGAGAAGCTACAATTTAGCAAAGATCATAGAATTGTTGAATTGTAGAGTTGGAAGGGACCACAAGGGTCATCATCCTTGCATGCAGGAATCTTTTGCCCAGCATGGGACTTGAACCCATGACCTTGAAAGTAGAAGTCTCATGGTCCACCAACTAAGCTATCTTGATGTTTAGAGTCTCACCCTAGGATCAGCATGAGAAAAATTTGTAATGCTAAAACTAATTGCTCCTTTTTGCAGTGTATCATTCTTCTTGTCTTGTAATGTTTTAAACCAAGTTCTGTAAGTAAAGCTTTAAAAAAATCTTATTTTAAAGAAGATTTATTTCTACACAAGGCTCAGACCAAAGACTATATTGGTGCTATATCTAACAGGTTATAGGCCCAGAACATTCTGGACAACCAAATCTACTGTACATATTTCTCGATCATCCAGTTCTCTGGATAGCCTGACATAGGATTTTATTTTTATTTTTTTTGTAAAGCTGCAGAACTACTGAACTACATACACACCAGTTTCCACATGCTTTCTCTTTCTCTTGACATAAAATCAGCATCTTGCAGCTAAGGGGTAGTCATATGTGTATGAATCAAAGAACTATCATATCATATTAACAGCAAAGGCATGAGGCAAATGCATTTGTGCCCTGAAAACTAACTCTATGAAAATGGCAACAATTATTCCATAGTTGTTGTCACATTGATTTTATTACTAAACTAACTAGGAAATTTCTTATGAGCAGGGAAGTTATCTCCGCTTTCAAACACTGTTTTCTGTCAAAAATATATCTTGATTGATGTGATCACAGGATTTGACTAACAGCTTAAATGATAGAACATTCTGGGTCATAAAAGCATGGTAACACTGGTGCTATAAATATAAAGTGATTCACCATATAGCTAACATGTTCACGCTATATTTCTGGGTGATTTAATGCTTGCATATGACCTTGCCTTAGATAAGCTGTTTAGTGAATGCTGAAAGTATTTAGCAATTTTCATGATGTATGACTTGAACTGGATGAACATGACAGTAAGTTGTCAACAGCATTTTACTACATTAGTGTATATATAAGATATATAATATATATTTTGGCTCATAGTTTCTTGTACACGTATATACTGTACATATGGGGAGCAGGGGGAAGAGGAGTCAAAATTTCACAGAACACTATTTTGGGGCAATTTTTGAAATCTGTTTTTCAAGCTGCTACTAACTGTTGACAAAATTTCAGTACTGTCCTGGAAAATATTCAGTGGAATTACCCTACCTCCCCAGTTTTATCCATGAATTTTGGGTGCATTCATGGATCCAATTCTAATATTTTTGAAAGATTCAGTAGGCTTGCCCCTGTGCTTTCCAGTCTTTTTTGCTTGCTTTCTTATCCAATTCACTAACCTGAACGAACAACAGATTTTCATTCAGCAATAATAATGCCATACTATTTAGCACACAGCGACCTCAGATATTCGACAAAATTTCTCTTAACTGTTTCACCACCCACAAACAAGAAATATGGGTGGCAATTTTTCCTGAGCTCTAACCAACGGATTACAGGGTTGTACACATCTCCTGCATATACTAGGGCTGTTTGTGCTGCATGTGAAATTATGGTCACTTGGTTAAAGTAGGATCACCTGTTATCTACTCTGATGGCGTCCAAAGTAGACTCACCTGTTCTGATAACGTCCATATTTTTAGTAATCTAATGCAAAAGGCTGTTGGTAGGTTGAACAACATTTAACATGTGGGGCAGATGGCTGTCCGTTAGAAAGATTTTGTGTTGAACCCTGGACAAGAAATCCAGAGGAATTTAGTAAACTGTCAAAGTATTTTCTTATTATATTCAAGCAGGATAAACAATCCTTCTTCAGCCAATTCAGACATTGCTGACCAAAAAAAAAAACCAACCACCCTGAACTTCTACTACTACTGGCAACTTATCTTCTTTACATCTTTACATTTTTTCTCTCAGTTGTATTATGTTCCCCAAACTAGTGAGATATTTCTTGCAGTAACATTTAAACTATTATACCTTATTCATTGACTAATGAGACTGGATGTTTCATATTTGCCATTATTCCTCTGGCTTTTTGACAGATTAATCATATCAATTTCTTCTAACCTTTCCCTGTTGTGCCTTACTTTCCAAAACAGTTATTGTATCAGTTCAGTGCAGCTATCATGATATGGTATTATATTCTACTATATAATTATAGTTTTACAGTCTTCTATTATCCATATATCATGACCAATTTGGTAGTCACATTTTTTATCTAACTTAGTTTTATCTAACTCAGTTATTACCAGAAAGGAGAAGCTATAGCAATGAATATGCAGTGTCAGATGTTACTCATTATGACTGCATGTTGGTGCCCTCAGTCTCATCACATGGAGTTATTTACTAATATATAAACTGGCCCTAAGGTGAATTTCTCGAATATGGTCCTGTGAATTAAATTATCTATACAATGTCCACTGACAAAACTGGTTAAATATCCCTGTAACTGGTTTTTGGCACACATTTTTCTTTCTGGAGAGGCTGATAGATTGTCAATAGCCATATGCTGAAAATAGGCCAAGTGTTGCTAATATTTGGGGCCACTGGGCACCTGTGGGATTTTGAGAGTGCCAAAGGCACCAGTCACAAAGTGGCTGCTGTGAAGATGTGAAATGACACAAATGGCTGCCACATCTAAAAGAGCAGAAAAAGACCACAAGGTTGTGTGTTTGTGTACTAATCAATAGGAAAAAGGGATTTACATCAACCACTGCTGGTGAAGTTCTGTGCATCCTGTCCTCAATTCAGAATTGAAGGGAGGCTGGGTGTCCAAGCCTGGTCACTGAAATGTGGGCATGTTTAAGAGAGCATGTCCAATGTAGGAGAGGCTGAGCCCATGCAAAGAGAAACTGCACAGGAAGAGCCAGCAGTCTCTCTTGCATTGTGGATGTTTGATGGGATATTTACTGAAGCACTATGGGAAAGGATAGTTGTTTGTCCCCTAAGGAAACAGTCCCTTCTAAGACAGTCTTTTTATCTTCTGTAGAATGACATTGTGCTTCCCTGAGACCATCATTCCCTCTGATAGCAGGGGAGTGGGACACAGCTGTAATGCCAGCAGCTCATTGCACGTTGGACACACCCCTGAATTCTGTCCAACAGGAGATAGTTGTACATGTGACAGGCAGTGCAAACCAACGGAAAGCCCCTGATTACATTCCTCCTGCACAATTGTTTTTATAGTTCAAATTACCTTATTGAGAGCTTTGTTTTTCTTTAGGTCAAGGAAAGGAGGGACAGGGTGGTGTGCCCTGCTCTCCTTGCCCTGATCTCAAACTCACAGGTCTACTAAACTTGCCAAATACCTGATCTATATGATAGGCAGCACATAAGGTGTGAGGTGGGAAGCAACAGAATGCAGGAGGGCCACCCCAACTAAGACTGACTGTTCTGTAGTAAGCAGAGCATGGAAAGAGCAGCCTGGCCCAAAAGGACATAAAACCTCACCAGAGTTTCAGGCTTCATTGGACAGGTTGTCTCTGTGGAACTATCCATGGTACTGCAACTTCAGCCTGATGCTACTTGCTATTGACAGTCTAGGCTGTCTCTCGTTGAGTTGTCTTGTGCACCATGTGCTCTCACATGTGTTCAGGCTAGAACATGCTCAAAAATTTGAAGGTGTTGCAAGTTTTTAAAGCACCTAAATCTGAGCACAATAAGAATTGCTGGCTTTCCTGCATGACAAATTCAGACAGAGTAAAGTTTTTGTTAGTGAGGTATCCTGGGGACTTACTAGCTAGAGCTACCATTGCTTCAGCTGCCAAAGCTCCCACATACTCTTTAAACTTAACCCTATACAATATAACATAGCCAAGCTGCAAGAGGCTAATTTTAAGAAGTGCAAGATAGAATCTGAGAGTTGGGAGTAAGGTCTAACAAGGTATTCCCCCATGGCTTCCACTTTTGCCCCTGTAGCATCTTTTTTCTACCCTCAAGGGAACTAATGCCTTCTGGTGGATGTGGGGGGAAATACACTGCAAAGGGGCCAAAGGCCAATTTCCTGTGAATCACTGTGGATGGAGTAATTTGTCCCTATGGATGCAGGGAAAAGTCCCCTGAGGATATATACTGTAGAATAATTTACCAGAGTTATTCTAGAAGTGTTTTTTTTGGGGGGGTGGTAGGGAGAACCCATGTAATAGCCAAGGGAAGCTTTGGGAAAGAAAGAAAGAAAGAAAGAAAGAAAGAAAGAAAGAAAGAAAGAAAGAAAGAAAGAATTTATTACAGTCCCAGACCAGATTCACATACTGCACTAAGCAAACATAAAACACAATAGAATTAAGTTTGAATTAACAATTGAATATGACAATAAACAATATGAATATGACAGCCATTAGAAATGTGGTTTAGGTCTTAGTCTCTAAAATATTATCTATATCATGTTCATTTAGGTCTTAGTCTTTAAATATTATCTTTGGGAAGACTGCCCATCTCTAGAGATTTGCCATTCACATTGCTATAACTTTAAATCATCTACCTGTATATTTTTAGATTCAGATTGCTGAGATGCCTTTTCTTTACTTACTGCATCTAATGCTGCAATTTCAAATTTCCTGAGAGAAACAGAACTCCTTGCAGCTATGTTAATTATAACACTGGACTGGCAAGCATGGTTTGAGCCAAATTCCTAAAGTATAATTGCAGAATATCTAAGTATGTACTTAGGGCTTTAACAGCTATGAGTATGAGATACCACACGCTAAAGCTGCTATTTCTGAAAATGTGAAGCTATGTATGGAAAGCATCCAAGTAAAAAATGAGATGCTTTTCTAAACACAGATAATCCAAATATTGCATTTTGATCTGCTTGACAACTCTCCTATCTATCAGTCCCAAGCAAGTAGTAAGCATACATGATTTATGAAGCTATCCTAATAAACCATGTATGACTGGCTGGCTGTTTTTAGCTTGGTGGGTTGTCAGAGCTAAATAGTAGGCAGTTGTTGAGCAGGAGCCAGAAGAGGTCATCAAAGCAACAGCAAGAGAACAAGCTAAATATCAGAATCCAGAGATCAAACAAGGAGACAGAAGCTATAAAAACTAATGTTGCCCAGGCAATGTCCCCCACATTAAAAAAAAAATAAAATAGCTCTTCCTTATGGACTGGT